GGATTGTGAATTATAGCCGATCCAGTATCCAAGTAAGTGTAGAAAAAATCTTCAATTTCCTACTCCAAACAGTTTATTAGAAAATGTTAGAGAAATGTAGATTCCTTAATGTAGATTTTTTTTCAACTTAATGTAACTTCAATGTAAAATATTAAAAAATATTAGAAATGTAAATTTCTTTCAAGTTTATTAGAAATGTAGATACCACCCAGATATTTTCCTCATTCACAGATCGAAAGTCAGCAAATCAAAGGTAAAGCAGAGTCTCAAAAGCTCTCGGCCAACTTATAGCTGTTTTGGAAGAAGTTGATAGCTACGTCTATCAAAACCAAAAAACGACTATGTTTCACAATTTAAAGTGAATAATGGCGCGTCGAAGAGCTTTCAGTTAACGTAAATTTCAAGCCATAGCGAATGCCCTCAAAATTTCGAACCCAAAGAAGCTTGCCCATGAAAGCAGTGCCATACCGATGCAACACACGTTATTGTTACTAACGAAAATAATAAAATAATAAAAAGCAGGAAATGAAGTATAAATGAAACAGTAAAAAGCTAAAAGGGACAAATAATTTGACGAAAACTTAATACGCATAGCCCAACCCCAGAAATGCCGATTTCGCATTCCAGAAAAGAAAACCAGGAAAGATGTGTTTTCGTGCATAAGCAATTTTTCTTATTTGTTTTGATCGCCAACAGCATTGTTTTCCAGTGGCTGAAACTGGAATTTTAGATTCGAAGAAAAACAATCAAAAAACACCGAAAAATGAGCAAAATCACCGACAATATAAGAATACAGATTATTAATTTTCCAGCGAAAGCATCTAAAAATGGCTGGCCAGCATAGCGCAGTGGCAAGCAGAAGTACTGTTCTTGCGCCGAAGGTCGAGAGTTCAACTCCGCTACTGGGAGAGGAGTAATTTCTGCGCAATTCGTTCATTCATTTCGATGATAAACTAATTCTAGGCGTATGTCAGGAAATCAGAACTGCTCTGACCTGGGGGTAAACGAAAATCGGAGTTATTGGTATTTTGCCAGTTAAGCTAATTTTCAAATTTTCCTTCGCCTTTTACAGAGTGTGAAAAGGGTGGATTTTCACCTTCTGCTTCTGCTAGATTTAATAAAAATGCTAATTTTTCATTAATCGTACCCTTAATCACATTTTTTTTTTCTATTTAAAGACTTTGATATATCAATTAATTCTGATGCAGTGCAAAAATTAATAAATATTGCAGTGATATATCCAGGATTCGGCGTAACTGAGCTTGACATTCACGCTTAATTTAACCTTTAACTGGCTCGATTCGAATCAAGCGCTAACCAAATATGCGATAATTTTTGTTTTTGCATTTCTTTATCCTTAAAAATCCACGATTTTGAGTTCACTAAAAGTAAGAAATAAGGAACAATTGCATCATTCCCAGTGGATACATCACAGCAAAATTAACTGTACAGCTCTGGATGTTAGATGTTTGACGAAAATGATGGGTGCTTTTGAATTACTACTACCTCCATGAAGCCATGTTCTACAACTCGGGCATGCCATTGTTCATTGACAGTTTACCGGTTGAATTGTAATAGCGTACCCTTAGGAATGGATTTTCATTGGGCGTCGACTGAGTATTCACTGAATCCGAATCGTCCGCCTGGGTATACTGAAATGAAATTTCATAAAAATTCCTGTAATTTCTGCTTCTTGCATGATCAAAACATAACATTTACATTAATATAACTGAACTTTTCATGTGTAGCATTAATTTAGATATTCTTTATACATTCATTAAAGGATCAAGAGAAAATGTTGAAGTAGAAAAAATGAAGAAGGGAAGAAGAGCGAAGTAAAAACGAAGTAAAAAAGGGAAATGGGAATATGCAAGTGTTTGTAATAGGTAGGAAATGTTTCGGTCCATTAAGTCGTATACATTTCTTACCGTTACCACAGTCGGATCTCGTCAGTAACGACGATTATAGTAACAAAATAATTTAGATGGTTTAGTGTAATATAGAAATTTTTAAGATAAAAAAAAAGGAAGAGAAGAAATAGAAAATGGAATCGATATAAATTTGTGATCTGTGGTTTGGTAATGCGAATTTCTGTACATGTATCAGTTTCATCAGTCACTTTTTAGCCTTTATTTCCTTTATTACTTTAATTTTTATAATTATCATCGTATAGGCTTTTTATTTCAAAAAATATCATCTCTCTGTCAAAAGTTTCTGTCACATCAGTGCTGAGCCCGTTCTGCACGATATGTGTGTGTACGTGTGTGTGCGTGTTTGTGTGTGTGTGCATGTGTGTGGAACAATTCTACTTAAAATTTTAACACTATAACCACAAATCTACAGCTCGAGATCAAAATCACAAAGTTTGATTTCACTGCTTATAACCATACTGAAGGATACCTTCCCAGACCGGATTTGAATCCGATGAAAATCGAGCAACTAAAAATTTTCAAAAATAAAAATATTCTGGAAGGAAAATTAACATTTGCGCTTCAACATACCAAACTCAGCTGCTGCTCGGTTGTGAACATTCTCGCAAACGGTGCCAGAAATGATGGTAGTGTTTCTAGCAATGTTGGACTTGCATTCGTAAGCAGAGGTTTCATAAAACTGCAAAACAGAAAATTCAAAAAATAAATTTTTTTAAATTCGAAAACCCCGGTTTTCATTATTATCCCTACCCGACTGCTTATAAAACTCGTTTTTCCACAAAAACTTCTAATAAATTTACCCTGGAGATGAAAAGAACATCAGGAGAGCCAGAAGAGTGAACATACGGCGATGTAGATTGGTCAAAGCAAGTGGAAAAGTGGCAGCTACATAACTGGGTTGTCAGACCATCAATAACAGGAATTTCAGGTATTCAGGTAATCTGCCTAGGCGGATCCAGAGAGTGGAGAGGAAGGGGAGGAGGGAGAAGGAGGGGGACGAGAGGTCTTTCTCCCAGCAGTACAGACATCAGTGCTACAAAAGCCCGTGTCTGTTCATAAATAAAACTAAAGCAACTCTAAGTAGCAGTGTTATAACTCTGTTCCTAGTTTTTGCATAGTTCCAAGATGGGAAAGGACTCTTCCTCCCTCCCTCCTCCCGCCCCCCTCCCCTCCATCCTCTCAGGAGTCCGTTCTGGATCCACCTATTTTCACATGCTTAAAATGCTGCACCCAATAAGTTCATGTGGCCATGGATTAAACTGACAGTATTTGAGTATGGTTTATTTACTTATGAAAAATTGAAAAATTTATTAACAAGCTTAAAAATTTAGCAAAAAAAAAACTAGAAAAATTTATTAATTAATAAATTTAACAAAAAAAGTGAAAAACTTATTAAAAAGCTTAAAAATTTAACAAAAAAACCGGAAAAATTTATTAACAAACTAATAAATTTAACAAAAAAAGTGAAAAATTTATTGACAAGCTTAAAAATTTCACGAAAAATTGAAAAATTTATTAACAAGTTTAAAAATTTTATAAAAAAATGAGAAATTTACCAACAGTTTTCGGAAAATTTAACAAAAAAAACTGAAAAATTTATTAACAAGTTTAAAAATTTAAAAATAACTGGAAAAATTTATTAACAAACTAAAAAAAATTAACAAAAAAAAAATGAAAAATTTATTAACAAACTTACTAGGCATCGAAGTTGTACCATTTTCGTGGAAGAAATGCCTTATCCCATGGATTTTGACCACTGATCCGTGTTGATGTATCAGCATTTTCCGGATGCACATCATCCTACATAAAAAAAAAAAGAACACATGTTGCATTTTAGGCAGGGCTTGAGGCACGCTGCAATAACAACTAGCGCTGCTCTCGTTCTAAGACCAAGGGTTCCGGATCAGAGGGAATAACCAGTCCCTCTGCGATTCGTTCATTCGTTTCGATGATAAATTGGTACTATAGCATAGGCCTGCTAAGTTTAGATCGATTCAATGGTCAGCCTGATCAGTGAGTATGTGGTAATGCAGTAAAGGTCATGCAGCACAAGGCAAAATGCTGATAAAATTGCAAATTCAAGATGATAAATTGTAACATTAAGGAAATCATTTTCAACGAAAATTTCCAAAAACATACAGTTTTAAACTTACGAGGTTCAGCTGCATTTGTGAGTCGTCACAAGCTTCCAATCCATGCCTGAAATTATACCCCTCAGGTGAATGAGGAAAAAAAAGGCTTCGTTCCGAATCCCAATATAAATGTGCATAAATAAATTGAATGATTTTTCAGAAAACTGCTGCTATGCCTGAACAGAATCACCCTCTTCAGCAATTCTCCCTTGCCCTTCCATCATTCTAATCGCTATAAAC